CGACTGCGAATTGCTGTTTTTCGAACAGTCGGTCGGCGTAGACGCTTGATGGTTGTAACAGCAGCCACCAATGCCGTGATGCTGTTAGTAAATTTTCTCCAGGATTCCAGAGGATAGCAGTCTACATCAGGGGAGATCCATTGGATTCCATTAGCCAGAGTGTTTAGCCCAACATAGTCGGTTATGATGCGAAAGCGATCCGAAGAAACTGTCGCTACTGATGCATAGCAAACATATTCGAACAATAATACAGCGTGATCACTGCGCCCCAACGGAGTTTCGATTGCAATTGATTCGACTATCAATTTGTTGTCACACAGTTTTACGGTTTAATTATGATTGCAATTTGTCATTTGCTTTGCACCGTATGGGAACATGTATGCTACTTGGACGACTTGAATTGACTGTAAAGCAAAAATAATTTTTTTGGAGATAATGAAATTTTGTGCTGCATTACACTAAATAGATATTTATTTTAACCGATACCGTTCGAACTACTACTACATATAGCATTCGATCAGTCAAAATCGATCCGATTCAGGTAGTGATACAAAAGAATTAACAACGTTGTAGTTGACAGAGAGGGGAGAGTAGCAAGCTTCGGACAAAGTGCTCTTTATTCCTAGCTAATATTGTATCAATGTGATATTGAAAATAAAATTTGTTTAACTATTGCGAGTCGTGTTTCATGGATTGTTCGGTCAGCAACCGTCTTTCCGTAACTGTAGTTACATCTCATGCGACTGAAATCAACTGACCGTGTTCGGATCTGATTCCAACCAGACCCACTGTCAATAGTAAAGGGTGGTGTACATACGGAGCGACTGTAGAATGTTGTAATACTCATGCTGTTTTAGACATATGGTGAAACTTTTCGGAAGGTATCACAATTCTCCCAGTTTGGTGTACACCAGCTGCTGTGAACAGCGAGCTATTCGCCTTTTTTCGTCACGCGCTAATAACGGATTATCACATCTATCAATGTCTGCACTCGTCCAATGGTCCAGCTGTCTGTGCAATGTGTAACAGTTGCACTTGTGAAGACGAATTCTGTAGCCTACCCCGTATGAACCGGACCTTTTTGCCTTTCGGAACTATATATATTTACTATTAGCTTAGGGCATGAATTATTCATATACTATGCCAAGTAATGTTTTTTTTCATTTTCAGTGTACATCTGCGTTTGTGTGCAGTTAGTTTCCTTAGGCAGAACACGTTCATCCTCTTAAGATCTGATTCTCATGACACACCGTACTTCCCTGTCTGTTTATGTGTATAGAATTTCATATCTCTTTGATAAACTGTTGGTCACTTGGAACGGTGCAGGGTACCCATATCTCTTTTGTAATTTTCCCTTTCGACCAGTGTCATCTCTTCAGACTGATGAATAAATAATGGCATGTTGACTGAATTTCAGGCAAGCACGTCACTTGAATCACAGTCATTCCGTTTGGCAATCCTCCTTGGAGCATTCGAGACAATGTTTCTCTTCAGCCACTGTTCGTACGGTCGATCCGGAGAAATTCAAATTGTTTTCCTACACCGTCTTGAGCAGTACGGACGGTTTTATTTAATTTAAGAAAAAAAAACTGTTGTTGGTGTTGGAGGGTTCTCCGAGCTAGAAGTGTTATTCGCACCGTCAACATACACATCGCGAGGTGTAAACATTCAACATGTTACCCAGCTCTCCATTTGTTTTCTGGGAAGCGGATTGCAATCATCGCATTATTTAACCAAAGATTTTCCCCTGAACCAATACAATGTAGACAGACAGGCATACTCTGAAACTGATTCTTCTCGTTTAGTGTGTGATGGAAACTATTGGGATCTATTAGGGATTGGCTGTTGAGAAGTATAGTTATCCTCCTTATCCAGGTTGTTTGCATTACCTGTTATCGCTTAAAGGCTCCTTTCGCAAGAATGTAAGACTAAACCTTGATATTTGGCAACCGAGAGGTTCGGTCGATCGTTTTCCGATCATGCTCGAAAATATTTTTCACCACCTTTTCGCTGTTCTCGTCATTTCCTTACCGTGTAAGCTTTCCTCCTTTCCCCGTGTCGTACATTGTGATTCCCACCGGAAATTTCCGCACGGATGCCGCGTTTTCGTCTCGTCAGGGTGGATCTGATTTTGGTCGCATTCCAGTGCTTCAAACTGATTGTCACCGACTATTTGTCCTCTCTATCTCCGGATTGTTACGCTGCTTGTGTGGCCACAGCCGCCAGATTCGGGCATCAGAAACAGGATTTGAACATCGCGTTGACTGCGATTGGTCACATTGTGAGTTTGGTCACACCCTGTGTTACTCAACCAACATAGTCTATCAAGCTTCCACTGTGTTTACCCGTATTCACCTGTTTGCAGTCAGCCCCTTCTCTCCAGTTTCATAGTCGTCGGACGAGTAGGTATTAGAAATAAGTGCTATCGGTATGAGTCAGTTGATTTGATAAGCCAATTAATTTCGGTTATTTTATTAATCCCATAGACCCGTTAGTCATCAATTGTCGCCCGAATTGTTCCCTTCCACCTGTTTCCAGTTGGTCCCTCATCAACCGAAGTCCTCCACATTCCTCGGAAAGTTGATTATACCACTCCATCGTCAATTGGTCCGGTCATTTTATCCAATTCGCATCGTTTCATTTATGTCAATGTTGGTGTTTACAAATAGTTTTAGATAATGTCCGCATACCTACCGAATCCGGTTCACTTGAGACCAAACACATGTAAAGAGTGGTGAAAAGGGTGATGAAAATGTACAGAATTCTATTGTCTTCCCGTTTTCGCTCTCTCACACTTTGCCCACGTGTTTTTGTGTTCTCAAAGAATAGAAACAGAATTAAACCAATATCTGTTCAGCTCTGTATTGGGGATCAGCAACTGATTTTCTAATTGACGTGCACTGTGTACCATTACTAAAGATGAGCCAGTGGAAATAACATTTTCCGTGAATTGTGCATGTATCACTTTGCTAGTCTAACCAAAAGCTGTCTGCTTTGTTTTCTCACGTGATCTAATTTGCATCCGTCTTTGTGTCCATTTGGCATTTGGACCGAAAAAGGGAAAGCTTGCGTAATTGACAATCCTTGAAATGTTCTTCTGGTTCGTTTTTCCACTTCGAACAGAGACAGAGTAGACCGTTGTATGTGAGAAACTTCCCGGGATAGCTCTTTGTCCCCAGTGTCAAGTTTTCCGTAGAAATGCACATTTCACACTGTTTATTTGACACAGATCGTTCTTGTTCCTTGTGACTATCCCGTATCTGAAATAAAAATATCGAATAGCTTTCGATTTTACTCCTACCTCTGTATTCCGGACTTCATTTTCCTACTTACGTGCAGTTTGGCTGTGTAACTTTTCCTCTCGGTTTTCTTGGCAACCACAGCCCAACTAATTCTCTGAGGGTAACTGCAGTTCAGTTGAATTTACGCCCCACTGCCTTGTGGGTCGAACTTTTGAGTCAAAGGCTCCGGTTAGGGTTCCCAAAGAAAAACCCCGTCGTCGGTCTGGGCTGCCGCGAAGTATGCCGTACCCTAAAGTCTTGGGTACCCATTTAGAAAACCATCTTTCCCATCTGTCTAGTCTTTCATCTCAATCCTGAATATTCTCAGGTGCCTCCTGCTTACGAGACCCATCACATATCCCTCAGCGTTCAACTAATAAGGTCAAACACGCAGTGGCTACCAGCTTTGTGAAACCAAAATCCCCTCTTCACTTAGCCGCACACTCTATCAGATCGGTAGATAGCTAGAACCCTTAAGATGTATGCTGTGTCTCCGAAACACGCATACAAGATCCTACTTCAGTCATCTCCCTCCGTTCTCCAGATCCGGCCTCATCCTTAAGCTTCACTCTCCGTGTGTCAGGCGATTCGGCATCCGAAGCTCGCGGTGTTGCTGGCGTTG